GGCTTGTTAGCTGAGAGGGTCATGCAACTGGAAGGCAGTAGCAAGCATTTTCCAGTTGGATATTTTGGCTGACATTTGTGGCGAGGAGACAAACAGGTCTAATTTGCCCCCCGCGCATGGGTAGGTAGGAAGATGCTGGTGGGTTTGGTTCGACAGTTTGGAGAATGTCTTGTGGAAGGGGTGCTTTTTTTAATGCACACTCAGGCACCATGGGAGCCTGTTGTCACCCTGGATATCTGGCTCCATGCCCTTGCCCTTCCACTCTGCCTCGACAAGAGTCATGGCACCCAAAATCCATGGTTCAAATCTGAGTTTCACAGGCTCAGGGACGAACTCAAGCTACCAAATGCACAGGTCCCTCCTGTATACGGTTACAGCAGGTAAGGGAATAACTTACTCAGTGCAAGCTGCTATAACAAAATAGCACAAGCTGGGTGGCTAATCAACAGCAGGCATTTATTTCTCATGGGTCTGGAGGCTGGAAGTCCAAGATCAGGGTGCCAGTGCTGGCATGGTTGGGTTCTGGTGAGGGCCCTCTTCCTGGTCACAGGCAGCTTTCTTCTCATTGCATCCTCACATGACAGAAAAGGAGTGCACAAGCTCTCTGGCCCCCTCTTACAGGCACTAATCCCATTCACAAGGGTCCTACCATCATGACCTCATTACCTCCCAAAGACCCACACCTCCAAATACCATCACATTGCGATTAGAGCTTCAACATATGAATTTAGGGGGGAAACAAACATTCAGTCTGTTGCAGATTGTCCTGATAATATGTGTGCCCAGGACATTTTCCCCACAGCGAAGAGCTACATTGGAAGGCAAACCAATATCAGGTTTCCTAATATGCACAGAGTCATCCCTGGAAGAGTGAGTCCAGTGATCTTACCAGCTAATTGCATTGAGCTACCCCACCTTGGGGATCTACCTGCCAAGGAGAACAGAACACCACTGACTTTGACACCCATCTCTCAACAATGATGGATGAATGCTGGAAATTTACCTGCTTGGGTGGCTTTGTCTAAGTCCATCTTCCTTATGCAGACTTTCTTTTTTTCTTGCTCTCAAATACTTTTATTATGAAATATCTCATTTAAAAGTTCATTAAAATACATTAAAAGTACACTTAAAGAGTACATGTTTAAAGTGCAGATGAAAACATAATGAATACATCTTTCTTGAGAAAAAATATTTCGGACACAGCATGAACTCAGTTGTTGGTTCCAAGCCCCTCCCCTTCTCACTACACTGAACTTGGCATGCATTCTTTCTTCAGGTGTGTTTGTAATCTTACTACATATGGACATATCCCCCAGTAATATCAGGGATTGTCTTGCTTGTTCCTAGACATCATATTAATGTATCATACCAATTGTACCCCTGTGCTACTTAATGTTTCATTCAACACTGTTTTGGGGACACTCCATGTTGATACATGAATTCAGATGTGTTCATTTCTTCCTCTTGTGAAATATTCCATTATGGAAATAGTCCCTAGTGTGTCTATCTTCACTACTAATTGACAGGCATTTAGGCTGTTTTCTATTTTCCTAATTACAAGTGATGCTGAGTGAACATTCCTGAACCCATGCGTGAGGTTGTCTCTGGAGCACATGCCAAGGAACGGAATTCTTAGGTGGTAAGGAATGTGTATCTCCAGCCTTCGTCAATATTGCCAATTGCTCTCCAATCTGATTTCATTCATTTACACTCCCACTAGCAGTATATGTGAGTCTTTCTTTCACATCTTGCCAACTCTTGCCAATCTGATAAATGGGAAGTGGTAACTCATTATTATTTCAATTTGTATTCCCTGTATTAATCCCTGAGATCTTAACACTTGCGTATTGCACATTCTGGTTCCTCTTCGGCAAATTGCGTTGGCATTAAGATAGTAAATTTTCCTTGCCACCTACCCTGGTTGAGTCAGGTTGCTTAATTACTTGGAGGTAAAAAGCACCTTTCTGAGTGCAGATTTCTGGGCCCTCGTCCAGACTGAATCTGCACTTCCAGCTTGAAGGGCTGGAATCCTAACAAGTTCCCCAGATGAGTCTCAGGCACACTAAAGCCAGAGCGTCGATGCCTGGGACCCAAAATAGGGAAGAAATAGCCACCCCTGAGGCTGCCTGTTGGGGATAAGAGATGCTCCATCCATCTTTAGGTCCCTTCTTGGAAACGCTGAGCCCGGCCAGTCATGCAGGCTTTTCCAAGCTCTGATGCTGCCCTGTGTCCACAATAGCATCCCCACAGCCTGGATCCAACATCCCAACATTATGACGGCTCCTTTGTCTCCTTGGCAGAGCCCAGAACTCCCAGCTGAGGCCTCAAGGCTGTTCTAATGTGCTTAGAATGGGGATAAAGGTAATGCCAACCAAAATGGGGAAACCGGTATTCCTGCTCAGTCACTGCCGAGTCAGCATAAATCGCTCCAGAGCACAGCTTGTCACTGACCTCAAAGACTCAGTTACAAAGATGATCACTATAGCATTGTTTACAGTAGTACCAACAAAAACAAACCACCTAAATGTCTCTAAATGTCCAACGTCATGGTTTGAAAAAATAAGGAATGGTACATCCTTCCATGGAATGTACTTTAAAGCCACCCAAAATCATACTGCACACGGATACTGCGCAATCACACTGCACAATGTCAAGGAAACTTGCTCAGGAGTTCATGGACTCCCAAGGAGATGCCTATCAAAGGGAGTTGGCACACCTTGAGATGCTGATGAAAGTGCAGATTTCTGGGCCCCCCTCCAGATTGAATCTGCACTTCCAGCTTGGAGGGCAGGAATCCTAACAAGTTCCCCAGATGAGTCTCAGGCACACTAAAGCCAGAGCATCGATGCCTGGGACTCAAAATAGGAAAGAAATATGCTGGTATATCAAGAGGAAAAAAGCAAGTTACGTACAAATGCAGTATATACATATAAACCACCCCCTTCATGTGGGTGTGAGTGTATGTGTACTTTTGGGGGAAAAAAAAAAATTATTGGCCGGGTACAGTGGCTCACGTCTGTAATCCCAGCACTTTAGGAGGCCAAGGTGGGTGGATCACCTGAGCTCAGGAGTTCGAGGCCAGCCTGGCCAACATGGTGAAATCCTGTCTGTACTAAAAATACAAAAATTAGCTGGGCATGGTGGCAGGCATCTGTAATCCCAGTTACTCCAGAGGCTGACACAGGAGAATCACTTGAACCCAGTAGGCGCAGGTTGCAGTGAGCTAAGATTGTGCCATTGCACTCCAGCCTGGGCGACAAGAGTGAAAGTCCATCTCAAAAAATAAAAAATTTAAATATATATATATATATATATATATATATATATATATATATATATAATTTATTTATTTATTTTTTAGCAACAGGTTCTTGCTGTGTCACCCAAGCTAAAATGCAATGGCACGATCTTGGCTCACTACCCAGTCTCAAACTCTTGAGCTCAAGTGATCCTCTACACTCAGGCTCATGAGTAGCTGGGACTACAGGCATACCCCACCGCACCTGGGTTTTTTTGTTTTGTTTTTGTTTTTTGTACAGACAGGGTCTCACTATGTTTGTGTTTCCTGACTGGTCTTAAACTCTTGGCCTCAAGCGATCCTTCCACATCAGCCTCCCAAAGTGTTGGGATTACAGGTGTGAGCCACCACGCCCAGCCTGTGTGTGTGTACTAATAGCTACCTAGATAACAAAACTTAACAGCAGTTACCTCTAGATTACCTCAGCACCATTGACAATCAGCCTGATGCTTCTTCGCGGTGGGGCTGTCCTGTGAGTTGTAGGGTGTTAGCAGTATCCCTGGGCGCAGTAATGTAACAATCAAAAATGTGTTTGGTAGCACAAAAGTGCAACTACAGTTAAGAATAATTTATTGTATATTTCAGAGTAACTAACAGTGAAATTAGAATGTTCCTAACACAAAAAAAGATACATACTTGAGGGTATGAATATCTCAACCACTCTGATTTGATTATTACTTATTATATGTTTATATCAAAATATCACATGTACCCTATAAGTATGTACAAATATTATGTAGAATTTAGATTTATGTAAATTTTAATAAAAAATAAATATTAAAAAATATCTTAAGATATTGCTAAATGTCCCCTCAAGGAACAAGGTCCCCAGGTGGAGAACCGATTCTCTAGATGGGACATGTATAGATGATGTTTTCCTTTGTTTTTTTAGTACATATGCCTAGTTTTTAGTTTTTTCTAAAATAAGTGTACTTTAGTCATACAAAAAAAAACTTTGTATCTATTATTATCCCATTGCCTGCACTGTCTGATTAAAAAATACACTCAGATGAAAAGATATTCACATTAATACTTACAGTAAGAAAATTAATTTTATTATTATTTTAAAATAACTATGGAAAAACTACACAAAGGCCTCCCAGATGTCAATATTCCTTAGGCAACTTTGAAACATTTATAATCTTAGTCTTTGGACTAGGCATCCTAATTGTAATTCCATATCTTAAAGAAGCAATTCTAAACATAGGAAATGCTTCACAAATAGGGTTGATTTTTGCAGAGTTACTTATAAAAGCAAAAAGTTATAAACACTGTAAAACCAATCATAGGAAACTACGTTAATTAAGGTACATTCACTTGATAGACTATCATACAGCATTAAAACGATATTTATAAAGAACTTATAACAATATAGGGGGCAAGGTTTATGCCATATTGTTAAGTGGGAAAATAACTGAATACAAAATCAAATATGTTACATCACATTCAAAGGCATAATAATGACAACGAAAAGAATCTCATCAACATGGTCGGAAGAAATACACCAAGATATTAAAAGTAATTGTTAATTGAACAATGGCATCATAGGTGACTTTTTCACTCTACTTTCCTGAAATATCCAAATTTTTTACAATAAACATGTATGTATTTACAGTGAAAGAGAGAACAATGAAATTTCTTTTTAAAAATACTTGAAAATGATCACAAAAATGTGCCAACATTTCAGGTAAGAAATATCTTTTTATATTGGATAGATTCCAGCCACCTCATGGATTTTGATTTAACTTGTTTACATTCATCAGGGGTGATGAACAGTTCCAGCCCACAGGAAGCACAATCTTTGCAGACAAAAGGTGGCCCTTCTCATATTTGTCAGGCAATATTTGTCCAACCTGGCTACTCCCAGGTGGCTCCAATGAACCCTTGTTAGCTCACTCCTCTGTCTCTTGTGGACCCAGACTATATGTTACAATAGACCTCAAAGAGGGAGGCAGCTGCGTGCATTCGGTAGAAAATAGAAAAAGGCATGGCCAGGTTGACCACAATTATCCAGGGTTCAAAGCCAAAGACAATCTCCTCCAATCCGTTGTCATACTCGGGTCGACAGCCAAAGGCAGGAGGTATCCAAAGCTGCAAGAGAAGAGAAAATGGCCTGTGGTGGGGAGCGGCTTCCAAGCCACCACAGAGGCCCCACTCAAGTCCCAGGCCTCGTGGGAGCTAACCTGGATACAAGGGGACTGAGTCGCCCCTGACAGAACAATAAGGAAATCTCGCGGCATTTCCCATCTCCACAGAAACCACCAAATCCATGTCTGCCATGATCCTGCTCACTTCCTCACCCACCCTTCCCTGCAATCCATCCCAAATGAGCGCTTTTTGAACCCATCTAACTCTCTCCATCCCTACAGCCCTCGCCCAGCCTCGGTTTCCTCATTTGTAAGATGGGAATTCTAACACGTGTCTGAGAGGGCTTAGATGAGAACTAAGTTTGCAAAACTGAAAGCAGTGACTTTTTTTTGTGTTGCTCACGGAACCTACACACTGTTCCCTGCTTCTCAGTCTCTTCTCTGTCCCAGTTCTCTCTCCTTCTGCCACCCCTTGAGTTGTCAGGCTCCTCACTCCCACTTCAGGCTGCACACTTCTTCAGCTTCCTCCACCCCCTGGCTGTGGCAGGCAGCCTCTAGGATGACCCTCAATGCTCCCCAGCTCCTGCAGCCACCCCCTTGTGGAGTCCCCACCCCTTGAGTGTGGGATGCACCTAACAACTCACTTCCAACTCACAAAATATGGCAAAAGGCCCGGGAAGTCACTTCTGAAATTAAGTTGCGAAAGGACCTGCTATCCCTCTTGCTGGTGTTCTCCTGTAAGACAGTTGGCAGAGCTGCCGTGCTGCGAAGCACCCTATGCAGCAAGGAGCCCAGGGAGCACTCCCGTCAACAGCCAGCAAGGAATTCAGACCCTCAGTCCAACAAGCCACAGCTGAATCCTGCCAACAGTCACATGAGTAGATTTGGAAACAAATCCCCTGCCACCTCTCACAAAGTCAAGCCTTGAAATGAATGCAGTCCCAGCCAAAAGTTTCAGCCTAGGAATGGCCCTGTGCAGAGACACTCAGCTAAAACTAGTTGGATTCATAAGTCAGAGAAACTATGAAATCATAAATGTACATTGTTTTAAGTTGCTGAGTATTGGGGTGCTCTCTTCCATAGCAATAGGTAACTGAGACACATAGCCTTCATTAGTATCACCATACAGAAAACTCCCTGGTATGTACAGCCAACCTCTGTATCCAGGGACCTGTGTCTGTGGATTCAACCAACCATGGATCAAAAATACTCAAAAAGTAGGCTGGGCATAGTGGCTCACACTTATAATCCCAGAACTTTGGGAGGCCGAGGCAGGTGGATCACCTGAGGTCAGGAGTTCAAGACGAGCCTGGCCAACATGGTGAAACCCCGTCTCTACTAAAAATACAAAAAATTAGCTGGGCATGGTGGCACGTGCCTGTAATCCTAGCTACTCGGGAGGCTGAAGCAGGAGAATCCCTTGAACCCAGGAGGCGAAGCTTGCAGTGAGCCAGGATCGTGATGCTGCACTCCAGCCTGGGCAACAGTGAGGCTCTGTCTCAAAAAATAAAGATAAATAAATTCAAAAATAATATGGTTGGTTGTGTCTGCACTGAATATGTACAAACTTTCTTCTTGTCCTTATTCTCTAAACAATATAGTATAACAACTATTTACATAGCATTTAAATTGTATTACATATCCTAAGTAATCTAGAGATGTCTTAAAGTATAGGGGAGGATGGGTAGGTTACATGCAAATACTACCCCATTTTATATAGGACTTGAGCATCTGTGCATTTGGTATCCACCACGGGGGCCCTGGAACCAAGGCCCCTCTCTTCTACTTTGCTTACTGGCTTCTGTGACTCTTAGAGTCTCTCCTACCTATTCATCGGGTCCCTCCCAGTCTCCTTTGCTGTTTCATCCTTTGCTCTGCCTCTAAATATTGGCCAGTGTCCAGGGTCATTCCTGGGTCCCTTTCTATTGTCTATACACATGAGCCCTGGGGCTCTCTCCCAGTCCCTGGTTGTAAATATCAGTTATAGGCCTATGACTTCCCAGTCTAAATCTCCAGCCTGGACCACTCCCAAGAACCCCAAGCTCATAGTTTCCAGTGGCAACTTGAGTGTCTAAAACACATCTCAGACTCAACCTGCCTTCCCCATTTCTCCATCTGATCAGCTACATCGTCCTCCCAGGTGGTCCATCGAGGTTCCGGGTGTCATCCTTATTTCCCTCCTACTCTCATAACCACACCCCCTCCCATCCAGTCCATCAGTGCATCTCCAGTGTGCACCTCCAAAGCAGTATCTTCAGCCCGCCTGTGGCTCTCTCTCTCCACCTGTTCAGTCAGACTCTCTCACCTGGACCATGGCGGTGGCCCCCTGCCTGGTCGCCCAGCTCGCACTAGGGCTCCACTCGGCCATCAGATTTACATTTTATGGAAATCAAATCCTGTCCCTACCTTGATTAAACCCCCAAAGTCTTCCCAAAATGTTTAAAATAAAAGCTACACTCCTGCATGGGGTGATAAAGCTCTCTTAGCTGATTTCTAACCACTGCACATGCTTCTCCTCACTCACCCCACCCACTTGGCATGCAGCCCTTCTTCCTGTTTCTCAAACCAGACCCGCTCACTCCCACCGGGGATTTTATACCAGTCCTTGTTCCCTCTGCCCTGAACATGTGTGGCCAGCCCCTCCCTGTTTCACGTCACCCTTCAGCGAGGCCTTCCTGCTAAGCTGGTCCATCTGATCTGCAATGGCCACCCAAGAGCTATTTCCCACACCCTCCTTTTCCACTTCTCTGCTTAATACGCGTACACTATAAGGTGTCTTTCTTGCTCAGTTGATGGTTTTGCCTGCTGTTGCCTGGTTTGTAAGCCCCATAGGAGGAAGACCAGAGATCTTGGTCATTGCTCTACCCTCACCATTCATAGCAGTCCCTGGACCTCTGTAGGTACTCAAGGGACACCTTTTAAAGGAAGGGAGAGAGGAAGGGAGAGGGAGACAGGGGGGAGAAAGAAGAAGAAAGGAAGGCAGGAAAATGGGACCTCTTTTCTGAAATCCACATCTTTATATCTGCTGTTCAGCTGTCTGTAAATTCTTGTTACTTATCCTATTGAGAGGCGGCCTATGACCTCTTTCCTTGAATCTATATGGACTCTGTCACTACATGACTAATAAAATATGGCAGAAGTGACACCATGCAGTTTCCAAGCCCAGGGCTTAGAAGAAAAGCAGCTTCCAGTTCAATCTTTTGGAGGGTTGGCTCTGGGACCTTGAGCCACCAGGTACGGAGTCTGACAACCCTGAGACATCATGCTGGAGACCCAACTGTGGATACCCCAGTCAAGAGTCCTGCTGAGCCCAGCCTCCCAGCCACTCCCACCCAAGACATCAGACCATGGAGCTTCCGGCCAAGACTTCACCAACTTCACTTGATACTGTGAGGAACAGAACTGCCCATCCAAGCCCTGCCATGAGTCACAATAAATGCCATGAGACAAAAACAGTCATGCATGTTGCTTTTGTCACGTATTTGGGGTAGTTCATTGCATGGCAATAGAAAACCAAACTATCCGCCTACTGGGTTCATCCATTTGGATGCTGCAGAGGCACCTGAAACAGAACATGTCCATTACTTAACTCTGGTCCTTCCTTCCACACTGACCTCCACCCACCCCTCCCAAGGTTGCCCCTCCTCCAGTGTCCTCCGTCTCCAACATAAGATCATCGTCTCCCCAGGAACTCAAGTGTGAAGGCAGGGGTCACGCTTGGCATCTGTCACCCTTCGCGAGTTGCAACCTGGAGACCTTGGAGGGTGTTATGATGAGTAGTCACAAAAGCACTAATACTCCACAAATCCACTTATATGAGGCGTCTAGGAGTCAAATTCCTAGAGACTGAAAGAACAGTGGTTGTCAGGGGCTGGGGAGAATGAGGAGTTCATATTTAATGGGACAGCGTTTCAGTTTTGCCAGATGAGAATAACCTGGAAAAGGGCATTGGTGATGTTTGCCCGACAATGTGAACGTATTTTACTCAACTATACACTTGAAAGTGGGTGCAATGGGGAAGTTTATGTGGTTTGTTTTTTACCACAATTAAAAATATGATAAAATAAGCATGAGTCAGATCCCATCACTCTCAGTGTAGACCCTTCCGTGATTTTCTGTTGCATTTAGGATCGAGTCTTGGCTCACAGGTCCTGTGTGGTCTCCCCTCTGCCCTGTGCTCCATGCTCCCAGGTCATGTCCAGTGAGCCCTGCCTTGCCTTGCATCCGTCCCTTCCCCACACCTGTAGCTCTGCCCTGATAGTCTCTCACCCCAGCCCCATCCACACCCTTCCTTAGAAGAGGCCTTCCCTGACCCGTCTCCCACAGCACCCTGCCCTTCCCCGTCACCATACCCACCCTCTGTTGTCTCCAGTGCCTCGGCTCCTGGAAATTCAACTAACATTTCCATCTCTGTCTCTGGAGTGGAGCCCACCCCACCTGGACAGGCACATCAGCACCTGCAGCTGGGGCCTCTGGACTGGCTCCCGATGCTGGAGAAGACAGCTTTTGCTCTCTGCCAGATGCCTTTGGCACCACCTGAGGTCAACCACAAGGTTTCTAAATGCCACCCAATGAGCCAGCATGGGCATCCTAAGACAGCACCCTGTGATGATTTCCATCCTCTGGTTCAATCCCCCAGAACCCAACCAGTGCCTGGGGGCATCATGGGCCAAGCACAGGGAGGAAGAAACGAAGCCCACTCTTTTCCTTGGACTGGGCCCTGGGTCTGGCCTTCGGGTCCTGACAGACCATCAGTTGCCTCTTGATTCTGGTATTTCAGACAGTGCTATCTTTCTTAAAGTGGGTCCAAAAATGTAAGCCAAGTATTTCACCCAGTGGTCAACCAAAAAGGCAACCAGGGAAAAATAACTTTTCAGAACTCAGTTTTAAAAAGATATATCAGGCCAGGAGCGATGGCTCACGCCTGTAATCCCGTCACTTTGGGAGGCCGAGGCAGGCAGATCACCTGAGGTCAGGAGTTCAAGACCACCTTGACCAACCTAGTGAAACCCTGTCTCTACTAAAAATACAAAACTTAGCTGGGCATGGTCAGTGCATCCCTGTGGTTCCACCTCCTTGGGAGGCTGAGGCAGGAGAATCACTTGAACCCAGGAGGCGGAGGCTGCAGTGAGCCAAGATCATGCCATTGCACTACAGCCTGGGCAACAGAGCAAGACTCCATCTCAAAATAAACGTATATTAATATTAATCACAGGATATGTACAAAAAGCATATGCTTGAGGAGGATTCTAGAACTAGCTCTGACTTTATAAGAATTTGCATTTTGGAATATGCACCTCAAAAAGCTGCAGCCGACTAGTATCTATCTCTCTTGTTAACTCTTTAAATTCTTGGTTCACTGCTGTGCCCCAACATAGTCCCTGGCATACAGCAGGTGCCTGGCAAATGTCTGTTAGATGGAGAAGAGGGTCTGCCTGCAGCCAAACTCTTCTTGACCTTCCCCCTTCAGAGCCCCTCCTCACTGCCTAGCGAGCTGAAGGAACCCGGGTGATCCAAGGCTAGGGTGGATCAGGTTTGCTTGGCAGACACACATCCATTCTGACTTCAGAAGGGACCTTCCCAACTTTGCGTTCTTAGGACTATATCAAAAGTTGCAGGCCTTGTATGCACCATCTGAAATTCAGGGGAGGAAGCTCAAAAGCCTCTGAGCTTCTGGGGCAACAGACAGCAGGCTTGATAATGGAGGCTGGTAGCAGAGAGCTGACTTCACCCGGAGTGATGGGCAGGCACCTCTGTGGACTGGGGCATTCCCCTCCAGCCACCAGTCACCATTACTGCAGAGACTCATGTGGTGGCAAAGGCTGCTTCCCCCTCCTTCTCACCAACCCCCACCATCCTTCCTTTATGTGTCTTTAAAAAAATCCCAACAGCACACAGTGCTTCTTATTTCTTTTTCTTCTCTCCATCCCTCTGTCACTGTGCTGGTTCAAGCTCCTCCCCTTCCTGCCTGGGCTGTTGCACGGCTTTCTCTCCCAGTCTTTCTGCTTCTGGCCCTGTCTGTCTCCATCCTTGCTACACACAGCTGCTGGGAGGATCATTCCAAAACACAAATCTGAGAGAATTCTCCCTTACCCTCAGCATAAAGACCAGACTCCAGCCAGACCTAGGAAGCCCTGCTCAAGCCAGAGTCCACCTAGCTGGGCCCTCTCTCCTATTTCCCATTCTGCTGCTCCAAACTACGTGGTGCTCCCAGAACATGCCATGGTGTCTTTGCTTCTGTGTCTTCAACATATTGCGTGCCTCTGCCTGAAATGCTTTTCCCTGCCTTGATCACCTGGTGAACTTCCAGCCATTCCTTGCTGATGCAGACAAGATTGGGTGAGTGACTGTACACCTTCCTCTCCCTTGCTACCTTCCATCAGAGAAGCTGGAAAGCAAACCATCCACTTCTCTAGCCTCCCTTGCAGCGAGGGGTGCCCACGTGAGAGACACAGCCCTTCCCTGCTGCTTTCTGTCTTGAACCTAGATGTGATGCCTGGTGCAGCTACAGCCATCTCATGACCATGTGGCAACAAGCGCCACACCACCCAAGTGACAAAATGAACAGTGCCTGGATGCCTGATGACATGGTTCAGCTGCCAGGCCAACCCCAAGCAGCCAACCTCTGGAATTCTCATGAGACAAACATTGTTAAGACTGAAGACACCGTGAATAAAATCGCCTATCACTCGCAACCAAAAGCACTCCTGATTGACACTGGGCCTCACGTCAAGCACCCACTACTCACTGAAGTCTTTCTGGATCCCTGCTCCTAGTACATCTTGCACAAGCCCCTCTCAGCACTTGTCCTGCTCACTGTATTAGATTTTCTTATTGTCTCCGTCTCCCGTTATACTGAGACCTTTTAGAGAAAAGAGACTGAATCTTTCCACTTTAATCTTTAGTACCCAGCCCAGCCGCTAGCATGCAGCAAGTCTTCAGTAGGCAGATTTGTAGAATATAGGTCTACTTTCCAGCCTTATATTTTAATTTTGTACTTACAGTATTTTTATTACAAGCTGCCTCCATTCCTTATTTTAAAAAGGCAAGAGAACCCTAGATGTCCATTAGTAATGGACTGGATAAAGAAAATGTACTATGGCAGGGTACAGTGGCTCACATCTGTAATCCCAGTACTTTGGGAGACTGAGGCAGGAGGATTGTTTGAGCCCAGGAGTTCAAGAGAAGCCTGGGCAGCACAGTGAGAACCTATCTCTACAAAAAAAAAAAAAAGTTTTGGCCGGGCGTGGTGGCTCACACCTGTAATCCCAGCACTTTGGGAGGCCGAGGTAAGCGGATCACTTGAGGTCAAGAGTTCAAAACAAGCCTGGCCAACATGGTGAAACCCCATCTCTACTAAAAATATTTTCAAAAACTAGCCAGGTGTGGTGGCTGGTGCCTGTAATCCCAGCTACTCTGGAGGCTGAGGCAGGAGAATCACTTCAACTCGGGAGGCAGAGGTTGCAATGAGCCAAGATCACGCCACTGCACCATAGCCTGGGCAACAAGAGTGAAACTCCGTCTCAAAAAAAAAGAAAAGAAGTTTTTTTAAATTTGCCAGGTGTGGTGGTACATGCCTGTGGTCCCAGCTACTCAGGAGGCTGAGATGGGAGGATTGCTTGAGCACAGGAGGTTGAGGCTGCAGTGAGCCATGATCATGCCACTGCACTCCAGCCTGGGTGATAGGGAGCGACCCTGTCTCAATAAATAAATAAATAAATAATGTGGTTGCTATACACCATGGAATATTATGCAGCCTTAAAAAAGAATGAAATCACATTATTTGCAGCAACCTGGATGGAACTGGAGTCCTTATCCTAAGTGAATTAACCCAGGAACAGAAAACCAAATACCACATGTCCTCTCTCACAATTGGGAGCTAAACATTGGGTACTCATGAACACAAAGATATGAACAATAGACACTACTAGGCACTAGTAGAGGGGAGAGGTCAGAAGTGGGGTGCAGGCTGAAAAACTACCTATCGGGTACTATGCTCATTACCTGGGTGATGGGATCATTTGCTCACCAAACCTCAGTGACACGCGATTTACCCATGTAACAAACCTGATGTGTACCCCTTGAACCTAAAATGAAAGTTTAAAGTAAAATTAAAAGAATAAGAATAAGTTGGTGCAGATTACCGAAATATTGCAGAGGAACAAGAAGGCTGCAATATTCCTCAGGACTTTTCTCTTGGCGTTGCCCTGTAAGAAACGGGGAAGGCGGACTGGGCTTGGGCTCCCTCCCCAGCTGCTCTCCTCCTGCTTCTCCTCCTCCTTGCCACAGCCTTCTCTCATGCACACATTTCCTTCGGCTGCTGGTGGCATGTCCCTGCCCCGGGGAGCCACATCTCCAGCCACACCTCCACTTTTGAGGCAGGAAGAAGCAACGGGCTTGCCATTGCAGACTGTGACCACGCGAAGCGTTCGGATGTCCTCAGAGAGCTTTTCAGGCTCTCGGTGAATGGATTCGATGATGAAGAGGTTCTGGATGTACTTCTCCACCATCACCAGGATGGAGTAGGGCAGGTTGTACCAGGTGTAGCGGGGGTGGTCCTCGGCACAGAGGATGGCCAAGATTGAGCCCCAGGAGATAAGCCAGGAGCCCGAGGCGGTGCCCACCAAGAGGTCTGAGTCCAGTTTGCGGGCTGGATTTTTGGACTCGTCCAGTGATTTCTCCTCTATCCTGTAAATCCGGATTCCAGCCAGACCCGCAGCCCCCATAAGCATCAGCAGGGTGATGGCATACAGGTAGAACATGATGAGCGCCGACTCGCTCTTGGTCTTGGAGCGCCCAATATGGATCAGGTACACCACCACCACGGCAATGGTGGCGGCCAGCGCAGTCAGGCCCAGGACTGTGCCCACCATGACCCCATCAGACTTGAACTGCATCTTCTGGTGCTGATGGCTGTCAACTTTGCGCCCGATGTTCTTCCATAGGACGTAGAGCATTGTGGAGGCCAGGATCTGATACTCTATGTTGAAGGGGTAGAGGTAGTAGATCCCGTGGGAGATGGCAGTGCAGAGAGTTGGGGGTGTGCAGTTACACTGCGGCGTGTGGTCATCTAAAACTAGGGGAGACAGGTAGATCACACAGGAGGGCCATTAGCATGTGCAAGGGGAAGCAGAAAAGCACAGAAAACCGTTTCCACCGTGGATTCAGGCTTGGATCTTCCCACTGGATTACAAACTGTATCATGTAATGACTTATTATCACGTTTAATGTCATGGCTAAGTTGATAGCCCTGAGTATCCCCAAAGTGTATGTATGCATTACCTAAATCGCATTTATTTTGTGGGTTGCCAAAAAGGATAGAGAAGATGACTCTATTGTTGTAAAACATAGATATGTAGATGATAGATAGATGGATAGACACACAGATGGGAAAAATCTGGAAGGACACAAACTAAAACCTTAACAATGGTTATCTCTGGATGGAAAAATGACAGATGATTTTTAATGTCTTCTAGATTTTGCTTCCCTGTATTTTCTAAATTTTCTCTGTGAAGATGATTTACATGTGTGATTTTTAAAAATTAATTTTTAAAAATACTTTCTGGAGAAATTGCCCCTTTTAATTAGCAAAAGATATGCCTCTTAAGACTCCAGTGCTAGCAAGCATGCAGGAGACAGGCGCTCTCCAGCATCAGTGCGGGGAAAGCAAATGGGCCACCTTCTGGAAGAGAAGCTGACTGCGGTATGGAGGGCCCTGTCGTCACAGGAGGGCAGATGCTGCAAGAAAATGACGAAACGAGTCACCAAAGCCCTAAAGGCAATGCAGTCTCTGACTCATAATGCCATTCTTCCCATTCTACCCTTCTACTCAAAGGGACGAATAAAAAAATATAATCAAAGAGTCAGGTAAGGCCGGGCGCGGTCACTCAGCCCTGTAGTCTCAGCACTTTGGGAGGCCAAAGCAGGAGGATCACTTGAGGTCAGGAGTTCAAGACCAGCCTGGCCAACATGGCAAAACCTCATCTCTACTAAAAATACAAAAATTAGCCAGGCGTGGTGACAAGCCTCTAATACCAGCTACTCAGGAGGCTGAGGCAGGAGAATCGCTTGAACTTGGGAGGCAGAGGTTGCAGTGAGCTGAGATTGTGCCACTGCACTCCAGCCTAGGTGACAGAGCAAGACTCAGTCTCAAAA